GCGGATGTCGACTGGAGGCACCAAAGATCACAGCAATGATTTCTCTTCTCTGTCAACCTGCTCAGTTTTCTGAAAATCTAGTCATGTCTGAGGCAGAAAACTCATTGTTTCGCCAAAGCCTCAGTCGCGTGCACACTAAAGAATAGTAAGGTTGCAATAAGCGCTTTGACAAAACGTGCAAGAACGACAACAACACATGTTGGCTTATTTTTTTGCCTCCTACGTTAAATAATAATAAAGAAAACTTAGAGTCATATATATTGTCCTACAAAAATAAATTCAAATAAAATAAATAAATTAATATAACTGAACAAACCATATTTGCGCTGATACTCCCGGGGCTCAAATATCACAGAATTTTACCCAGCCTAAATGTCCCCCTCATTTTATTTATTTAAATGCCTACAAGCAGCTAGAAACAAGTGGGATATGGATGGTGGAATACGCCGCGAAATCTGGTGTTCGAGGAGTTATGTAGTGTTTAATTAATTACATTATAACAGATTATCATCAACAGCGCAGGACAACATTAGAACTTTTTGACCTACAGCATAATTAATTAGTTAATTAGGATTAAGCTTCGCTTAAGCAATGTAGAAGTGAGTAAAAAGTAGTCACTGGGCATGCAAGGTAGGACGAAATATGCTAAGACTATCCCTTCACACCAATAAAACGCCCAATAAACGGTGAAAACGGTTTTAAGGGCTAATGTATCGTTTGGTAATTACGAGAAAACAAATTATTCACGACAGCAACTCCTTAAACCTCTAGAAACACGGGACGGTGCAATAGTATTGCTGGTGTAAAGTGAAAAATAGATTTTTCTTTCTTTACACTGGCCATTTTCGCCATTTCAATCCGGTATCATTATTTTTAATGAGAATAACCTTTCATTCGGCATGTTATTGATTCATGATTCTAGACAATAACTGAACGGATCTTCAGTTGCTTGAATTACCACTCAAGCACACCTACAGAACAAAGATGTTTTACTGTTCACGGACGCATTTCATTACTGACAACTAGTGAGTCTTCTAGGGTACATTACCCTGACTGTGCACAACTCATTAACCAAAGGACCCTACATTCAGAAAGCTACACTTGCCAAATGCTCAAATCTTCTAGTGCCTTGCCGAAATTAACGAAACAATAAAAATTAAAACTTCGACGTTCTGCAGTAGCTTCCATTAATGGTAACTTTTTAATTCCGTTCATAAATATTACATCTCAGTTCCTAAGCACCGGTAGAACTGCAAAGCTATCAACTGTGATAGCTATCCGAGATCATTGGGATTGTATTTGATTTCGTCTTCATTCTTTCATTGATTCAGGTACGATTTAAACAAAACATAGCTAAGAGGTATTCAAGTGCATAAGATGCAAAAATGAATCTCTGAGTTATGCGAGGAAGGATGGATGAAGGAGGTAATGAATTTATCATTAATTAATAATTCATAAACGGCTGATTTGTGAATGAATGAATGACTAAATGATTGGATGAGTGAACGGGTAAGAGTAAATAAATGAAATGAGAAAGCAGTCTTAAATAATCGGTAGTCTGTTTAATCCTACAATCGTCGCATGGCTCCAGCACACCATAAGAAATATTTACCGATACCGATATAAATATGAAAAAAGGTCCATCCCAAAGACAGGATAACTCTCCTTTGAATCACTTACCATCATAAAAGCAAATCTAATTTGCATTTACTTGGGCAATGGAAGACTGTCAAGAAACGGTCCGACTGCTCGTCTATCCAGCCAAGTGACCAACGGTGAGATTTCGCTCCAGTCGCCGCTTGCCAGAGCGCAAATGGCCTGCTGAGCTGTCGTGAAACGATGGATATCTCTTTCGGCCCACAGGACGCAGCCATGCATCTGCCCACAGACAGCGATGGCTGACACCGATTGCATGTTGATGGGGCTGGCCAACAGAACGGATTTAACGCAGCGTTCGAAAGCGGCAAATATCTTGGCGACGTCTTGCTGATGAAAGCTTTTATCTTCAGAGGAGATCGTCGCTTCATGCGGTAGACAGCACTGAGAAAGTCTAAAGAAAAGCTGCTGGCGGAATAACAATCGGATATTTTCGACAACAAGCAAATATACATTTTCGGGAACCGATACAGGACCACTTTCACAGAAGTGGTGCCCAAGTCAATGCCGAGCACTATGTTCATTTGCTTTGACTGGCGGTGTAGAAACCGACGATCAACTTGAAGAGACTGCATACCCTACAATCAAGATATATCAAAACTGACAAAAAATATAAGAATGAAATATCAGAGTGTTGAGGCTACTAGTATGATAGAGTAAAAACACGCTTATCATTACGTTATACGTTAAGATGGGCATTGAG